CTGACCCTCCGACAGTGCGGCACTCCCTCAGCGCTGACCCTCCGACAGTGCGGCGCTCCCTCAGCGCTGACCCTCCGACAGTGCGGCACTCCCTCAGCGCTGACCCTGCGACAGTGCGGCACTCCCTCAACGCTGACCCTCCGACAGTGTGGTACTCCCTCAGTACTGACCCTCTGACAGTGCGGTAGTCCCTCAGCACTGACCCTGCGACAGTGCCAACTCTCTCAACATGGGGATGGGAATGTCTGTCTTGGTTATTGTGCTGGAGTTTGTCAAGGGGCACCTGATGTCAAATCGATGTGGTGAATTAGTAATTGGATCTGATCATGATACCTACTCTAGTTGAATAGCTGCCCTCTGTCTAAAATCTAGAATCCACGTTACGAGGTGCAGAAACCAATAAGTGGGAAGGCACCGATAACTGGCCAGCACTTCTAACAGCTATTTGGTCATGACTGATTAGTAACAAACCACACTGAGCCCTCAATGAGATTCCACACACTGGGACTCACCCCTGGATATCCATGATTGTATGTAGAAAACTCACCAAACGCTTCCCAATTGGACTCCAGGCTGTAAATCACTGCCAAACTCTCTCTCTGTAGTCCTGCTGCTGAAGGGTTAAAGAGAGACTGCCGAATCACTGAGATGTGCGTGTCCATTCAAAGCTGTAGCTCGAGGGATCAGTGACTCACTGATCAGTTCCTGTGCCGCCCTCTCTGCTGTTCCTGGCACCAACTCTGTGAAACTTTGCAAAAGTAAAGTCTCCTCCTTTGTAAGCGAGAGCTGGGGCCAGCAAACGAGTTGTGTCGAAGGCAGCTCCTCTTTCACTCAGTTGTTCAATCATTGGCACAGTTCTTGGCAGCTGGGGGTAGGAGCAAGAGGGAGAATTGAGCAAAGGGCAGGAATGTAATTCATGGAAAGTTTGTTGCTGCTTAATTGGCTTTTATTGTTTCATGTTCACATGAGCTGAATCAGGCTGTGCTTCTTAAAGAAAAGGCATTGGATTTAATGTTTACATAGGCCTCACCACGCTGTGTGTTTGTGGCAACAAGTACGGCAGCGAGATCGAAGTATTGGGTGCGGGTTGTTAAGCAGGGAGGGAAGTGGGATGGCACGGAATATGGAGAGGGAGGGATGGAGAGAAAGGGCAGTGTGGGGTGTGTGATTAGGATGGGGTAGTGGGCTAGCAGAGTTAGGTGGTGATGTGTGAGGCAATGATGAGGATGAATTCTGCTCTGATCACAAAGAACACGGAGTGAAGATAACAATGATCTGCTGCACCCAAGCTCGAATATCCATTGATCAAGGTGCTCAGTGGAGATAGCTATCTGAGCAAGGGTCATAAGGAATAGCTGTTGGAGCAGCATCATGGCAGAACACAATTGTTTTCAGCACATGGGTGAATGCAGTAGACAGCGGCTCTCTCTTTCACTCACTGGTGGACACAGTATGTCACATCCAACACAGTGTCAGCGATAACACGTATTGCCCCAGAGTCTGAACACTGTGTGCTCGGGTCCCACTTTAAACACTCGAGCAAATGTAACGTTTCCAAATTTGCAAATGAAGCAAAGCCAAGTGGGAATGTGTGTTGTGAGCAAGATGTAATGTGGCCTCAGGAGAGTTTGGGCAGTTCTAGTGAGTGGGCAAGAACGTGGCAGATGGAATATCATGCAGCAAAATGTGACATTATCCACTTTGGTTGGAAGAACAGACGGGCAGAGTATTTCTTGATCGTGAAATGCAGATGTTGGGACGAGGTGTCCTTGTCGATATGTCACTGAACGCTAACAAGCAGGAACAGCAAGTTATTAGGAAGCTTAGTGGAATGCTGCCTTCTATGTCGGAGAGTCAGTGCTGAGGGAGTGTGGCACTGTTGGAGGGTCAGTGCTGAGGGAGCGCCGCACTGTCGGAGGGTCAGTGCTGAGGGAGTGCCGCACTGTCAGAGGGTCAGTACTGAGGGAGTGCTGCATTGTTGGAGGGTCAGTACTGAGAGAGTGCCGCACTGTCAGAGGGTCAGAACTGAGGAGATTTACACTGTCGGAGGGTCAGTGCTGAGGGAGTGCCGCACTGTCGGAGGGTCAGTATTGAGGGAGTGCCGCACTGTTGGAGGGTCAGTACTGAGGGAGCGCCACACTGTCGGAAGGTCAGTGCTGAGGGAGTACCGCACTGTCGGAGGGTCAATACTGAGGGAGTGCTGCACTGTCGGAGGATCAGTGCTGAGGGAGTGCCGCACTGTTGGAGGGTCAGTACTGAGGGAGCGCCGCACTGTCGCAGGGTCAGTACTAAGGGAGCGCCGCACTGTCGGAGGGTCAGTGCTGAGGGAGCGCCGCATTGTCAGAGGGTCAGTACTGAGGGAGTGCCGCATTGTTGGAGGGTCAGTACTGAGAGAGTGCCGCACTGTCAGAGGGTCAGTGCTGAGGGAGCGCCGCACTGTTGGAGGGTCAGTGCTGAGGGAGAGTTACACTGTCGGAGGGTCAGT